GCTTGTAAATCTTAAACGGATTAGGGACACATGGTTGCGAATTTTCTAAGAGGCTGTAATTGTAGCTGACTCGCTAGGATTCGAAACTGAACTTGCTACTAAAGGAAATCGTAAGCTAAAACGCTTTTATGACAAGGCATCAAACACAGCCCACTTCCACTTCAGCCAAACAAAAGAACTTAAAGTGAACGTTTTTAATATTGATTTAGATTGCCTGATCCAGCATATTGATTCAGCGTATTGATTTGAGACGAGAAGAATGGTTGGCAATATGTTTTTATTTGTCTAGTTGGATAATGATAATCTTTCTGTTTAAAATAAAGTATGAGAACTTGCACGGTTTTATCTTAGAGACATAAACAAACAGATTTTCTTAAAGAAGTTCGCTTTTTAAAAATCTCCGCGATACTCGATCTAATCTTGTAGAAGAATCTTGAATGCTTTTTTTTATACAGTTATATCATTTTCCGGATTTTCAACACTATTCCTAAGTCAGTTGCTAAGAGTGAACAATTGTTTAGTAAACTAAAAATTGTAAAAAAAGTCTCTTGTTTGACCATGGTCCAAGATCACGTTACTGGTATTTGATTATTTTGATTAAAAAAGATTTTGGCTAAAAAGGTCAGCTACGACAATGTCATCATTATTTGAGCAACCATAAAAGTTCAAAAAGTTCGTTTTTAGGCGCCTTGTTTACCTTTTTTAATGGTTTCCTTAAGTAGTTTTTAAATAGTTTTAAAGCTAATATTTTGATAACCGTTTCTCAATCTAGAAAATTAATGGTAACGCAAAAGTACAACGTACTGTATAAGAAACAAATAACTGCTGCGTTCACAAAACTTTTAAAATTTTAATTTCTTTAACTAGTTTAAATTAAAGGCGTCGCTCTTCATTTTCGACCCGGGCGTCAATGGCGCTCTCGAAGGCCCTGGTTTACTGGACAATATCGTCATTTTTTTTGTCCTTGAATTAAGTTTAGTGAGCCAAAATTGGCAAACTGTGGTCGATTGGCTTATAGTTGCAAAAAAATTGGTCATTCAATAAGACAAGAGAAGTTGATGAAAACAATGGCTGAAATACGGATTTTAGGAAGCAACAACTCGTCACCTAAATTCAAGAATGGCTGTTCTAGTACATTCTGAATTAAAAATTTTTAGGGCAAAGTATTTACATGACATAAAGAAAACCATTGAGTAAAAACTCATTGAGTATAGCAGCAGCTAACCCAGCTTGTACACAACGTTATATTAACGTTGTGTTAACGTTAAAACGTGTCATTTTATTTTGACTCAAACACTTAATGGATGGAAAACAAAAATTTCTTTCCAAAATAACTTAAAGAAAATTGAGGAAAAATTGATTGAAAAACAAGTTGTACGACCGGTGCTCATTTTTTATGATAACCACAACAGCCATATAAGCTACGATTTGTTTCAATAGTGTAAGAAAAAACAAATTTACATTAGTTCTCCACCAAATTGTATACGAATTTTACAAATCGCAGACTTTCTGTTTGAAGCAACGAAACACTGTTGGCGAAAAGAGGTATGTGATTGGAAACGTGTAAATAAAAAAATAAAAAATAAATTATTAATATAATTCTTGTAATAATTTTAAAACCAATTAACGACTGTTTTATAAAGCTAGAAAAAATAAAAAGCATTTTTATTTTATTGATTTAATTATTAAAAATACACATAGATAGTTGTCGTAGAAAGAAATAAAAACCCGTTAAAAATGTAACGTAAATCAGTAAGTCCTGACACTTCGATTGAATTTTTAAAGTTTTGGTATTTAAGTATTTTGGTTAACATTTTTATTCCCTAAAGAGTAATCATAGTTACAATTCTTTCATTAATAACGAGTAACTTACATTTAAACGTTATAAAAACCATATAAAAAATTTGAAAAAATTTCATTTAATTTTCGTTTGCAGATCCAAGATTTTTTTTGCATTTTTTTAATGGTCTTGTTGCAGTTTTTTCAATAGTATAAACTGAATAAATTTGTACAAAAATAGCACTTCAAGCTTGAATTCAAAGAGAGTAGAATTGATTGAGATCATGCGACAAAAAACTGATTCTTCTTTAAATTTTCTTATTATACAACAGCAGATAAACATAATCACGGTTAAATATCAAACTTAAGCTGTTTTTAATTCTTTATCATCTAATCCCATGGCAAAAAATATCCTAACCAATTCAGTATGTTTTTCAAGTACCAGAACCATTTGAAAAAAAAAAACTAAGATTCAAAAAATTGAACTATGGTGTTTTAACCAGTCAGCAAGTTATTGAAGAATTTTAGGAAAAAAACGAGACCAAAGAAAAAACGGAGAAGATAAATAATGAAAGAAGAAATACTTGCGAAAAGCAAAAAAATATTTAACGGTTAAAAATTTAAACATCAAAAAGAAACATTTATGTGTCATTTGATAAAACAATTAAACAGCATAATTGTCTTCCATAATAATTAAGTTCGAAACTAAACTCTATTTAGCTTATTTAGTTAAAAAAAATTTCTTCATGACATCATTCATAACTGTTATTGCGTATTGATTTTTCATTCATTGTAATTGAATATATAGCAATTATTATTAATAAAAATATTTATATCAAATGCGGATTCATGAAAAGTGATGAGACTGGGGGGAGGGGGGGAAGAGCAAAGGCGATGAGGGGGAATGCGTACTCTCTCCTTCCTTTTAGATATTTCGGAAAGAATTCTTTTTTTGAAAACTTTTTTAACAAAGCATGTTGTTTGAAAGCATAAGTAAATTAGGAAAGCTGTTTAAAAGTAATAAGAAACTTTGAAAAAAGTTGGTGCAAAAAAAATATATATTGCCCTCTATTTTATTAAATTTAATAAAATAGAGGGCAATATATATATTTTTTCAGGGACAGATCCAAATCCTCTAGTAAGCAGGAGGGGGGCAATTTTTAAGTTTTTTTATTTGTTTTTATTGTTGAAGTCTCGATTGTTCTTACTGTGTCTACCTCCGTACCGACCAGACTATATCTCTTTTTTGCATTTTCAATCTTATATATTTGAAAAATTGTTTTTCTTAAAAAACGTGAGGTACTAAGTGTTTTTTTTATAAAACGATACTGAAACTTAAAAATTTAAACGGATTTATTTGCGACCAAAACCTACAGTTTTACGGCTAATAGTTAAATCGCTTTATAAAGTGAGATATTTTGTAAAATATATCAGTAAATTGGGTAAACTTAATAAAATAATAAATCAGACTTTGTGTTATCGCCTCTAAAAATTTTAAAGTATATTTCATCAAGTAATTAAAATGTTATGAAAACTTTTTCAACAGATTGTTTACACTATAAGACAAATATTTTAAATTTTAAATAAAAAACTAGAAATTTTAAATTTTAAACTTAAAACTGAAAATATTTTTGATAACATTAGTGTGAAATAAAACGAGTGCAAAAATACTTAGAATTTTTTTAACCTAATTAAGCTTATCAGAATTAAGCATAGCAAAAAACATTACATACAATGTTAGGGAAAATTTAAACGTTTATGACAATGGTAAAGAAATTTTAATTTAATAGAATATAATATATGATCAGAAGAGATTTAGTTGTATTTACGTCATAAAAAAATGACTTGTTGTGATTTGTTCTACAGAAAAGTTCATAAAGCCATCTAGGGATAATATACAGACTTGCCAAATCCAGAACTGTGCTTTTCCTTGATAAATTTAGTTGTTGTATTTATGTAATCTTTTAAAAACAGAACTTTAAAAGTAACATTTAAGTACTAGAAGTGCTTGAAAGAAAGGGAATGGGAAAGAAAGGGAAAGGGAATGGACCAAATATCTCCTAGCCTGATCAAGTCTTAGTGCTTCCCTGAAATGGTGATCAATCAAAAAATAAAATGCCTTTATTTGCGAATAGAGTTATGTTAAATCGCAAATGTTAAAGTCTGTCATAATTGCTTTGCTATATGTGTATATTCATACTTCAAAAGGGTTTTTTTGGGAACCTCCGTAAACATTAAAACAGATTTTTACAGTCCATGAAATTGTGATAAAAATATCACATTGATGGATTTAATCTTAAATATTAATGACTAATGTAGAACAAAAACAACAATTGAATTAAATTCTGGAACAGCTATTGTACAACTAAACTGAAGAACAACATTTTCTCATGAGTAAAGAAAATAGCAAATGATCAAAACATTTTATACAACTTTTTGTTGTAAAAACATTTCTTACAACTTTTTTTTTTCAAAAACATTAATTAACAAACTAATTGTAATCATGAAATAATTTGTAAATAAGAAATAAATACTAATTGGTATTAAATCTGAAGAGTACCAAACATTTAATTATAAAAAACCAAATAATAATTATAAAAAAATAAGCAAACTATAAAAAAAAAAAAAACTTAAGGTACTCAAAAAATCAAAAACCACAATAGCGGAAAAATAACATATCAAACTTAATCAAGTCCACACTTGTTATATGCTACTCTAGGTAAAAATTATGATCACTTATAAATTACCCACGTGTGCCAACTTTTTATTTTGCAAATTCAAACAGCGTTTTATAACAATCCTACAGACGTCAATCAAAATAATAATTTAATTCAATAAAGTTAAACTTTGTGGTCTTATAATTATGTTTAAAATGTGCTTTTTTTTAATGTTGATGTTTTTTTAAGTGAATGATTTTATAAAAGTTAAATATGTGTTTTATCAAAATTTCGTTTTATTCAAGAACCTGTTTAAAGAGTAGCTAATAATGTTTGCGTATTGTTATTTACCAAAAGAATATCATATTTAGTCACCATTTTTATAAAAACAAAGAATAAATTGAATGAAAAACTGGTTATTATAAAAACCAAAATTATACTATGAAAAGTAATAACTAACAAATACTGTTCTTTTATTATTATAATAAAAATAATAAATTAAAAAATAATAAATGTTTAAAATCCGTTTTTAAGTTTTATAAATTTTTAATTTGTTTTTTCAAGAACTTGTCCTCGGAGTAAGCGAAGATAAGAAGTTTTATATTTTGCCGATGGTATTAATATGTATCACAATTGTGGTTTTTGTAGTGTTTTTATCTATTGGTGTCATCATTAGATCTTCTCGACAACGTCGTCATCGATTGCAGCAAACAGAAGAAGCTGTATTTGATTTTAGATATAACAAAACGAATCAAAAAGAATGCAGCGTTTCAAGGATTGTTACAACTTTAGAAAAAATAACAAACCCATTTTTGGTTTGTGCAAAGGTAAATCAAAAAAAATTTTGAATTTCTTATTTTTTGTTTAATATTAAGTTTTAAGATTATTTTTTTTTACTAAAAAGTTTAGTTCTTTCTATATCGTTAGTTTTAGATTATACGTGATTTTTTAATGTTTCCAGATATGACTCTTATAGAAATTGTGCAAATTCTAAACTTAAATATGTCCGTGTCTATGTTAAGTGAGACTGTTTTGCATAAGTTCACGGTGATTGAAACCTATAAAAAATAAACACAAAATTTGTGTTCGAAAGTTAATGACCATACAGAGATTCTACTCTTCGCAAAATAAGGGGTTTTAAAATTTTATTGGTCACATGACTTTTATGGTCACATGACTTTTAAACACTAATAGAAACTTAGAGGAAACTGTTGATGAAATTGAACTTAAAGTAAGATAACAAAGTTGAACATCTTATTACTTATTGCCCTCACGTTAATGCACTGCCCTAAGTAAGATCAAACATTTTGGGTTGCTCTAGTTTCCAGGCTTCCATCTCGCAATTTTTTTTTTCTTTTGCAAAAAAAAAAAAAGATGTGGTGATGGAATTTCATTGGATATAGACATGACAATGCTCAATTTTGCAGTTTGCACAATACCTGAAAGTATTGTACCGTAAACATGAAAAATCCTGTGGGGACCCATGGCTTTATATATAGTATACATAATGTTAAAATAGTGAGGTATCTCCACCTTTGACTTAACATAATCTGTTTAAATGTTTTGCCTTTAGTTGGAAATAAAGTTTGTAGTTTTGCTTGCAATTTCTGGTTTTTGCGTATTTTAAAGAAGTATATAGCTATGCAGACCTGGCAATGAATAAACAATTTTGGACGTCAAAAAAAAAATTTTTTTTTTTTGCTTTTTATATTTATTGACATTAACTCTTCTGAACTACCGCAATTTACTAATTTAACGCTAAACTAATTTAATTGAAAAACTTAAATCAATGTAGAAATGTTTTATGCAAAAAAGTCACGGAGTTTTTGCTTCCGGTTTTTTAAAATATAAAAATTGTTTATTTTTTCTACGTCATGTTTTGCTTAAAACTAAATGAATAAAAAACAATTTTTTTAATTATGTTTTACTTCTTATGTATTAACGGTTTTGCAAATAATAGTTTGTATTTTCAAAAAGTCAGCAAATAATAAAATAAAAATTTTAGACACTAAAAGAACAAAAATTAATTATTTTACTCGCAATTTTATGTTAAGGCTGCTAAATTTTTTTATTTACAATATAGTTGATATGGATCTTCCAATTGTGTTATTTAAACCAACTTTTACATATGCTTCAAGCAAATTTTTGTGTTTACAAGAAGTTTCTTAGTAAAACGAAATAAAAAAGAGGAATTTTAAGTTTAAACGAGAAATTTATAATCAATCAAACCAGGCAATTGAATTAATTTCATATACATAAACTACATAAATTTATATACAAAAATATACATATATATAAATATATATACATATTTTCAGAGATTGCAAAAGCTCTATTTTTATTAAATATTTGTTTGGCGTACATACTTATAGTAAATGTTGCGTCAGTTAAGTGATATTACTTGTATGAAAACAAAACAACAATCAAATTTCTTAAAAACGGTGCTAAGTTAAAAGTAAAGTTAATACACCCCTTTTGTTTAGCAATTAAGTAATTAATTTTATTTACGTTTAGTTTTATTAACACCGTATTAAAACAGCCGACAAGATTTTTGTTGACAAATATTTTAATTGAGAGATGTTAGTATGAAAAAAATTTTTAATTTATTGGAATTTATTATTTTGTACGTACATTGTATTCCAGTTGTACGTGCATTGTATTCCGTTGTAAACAAAAAGTATTTTATGTAACTGTTATTTAAACTTTTAAAACAAAAGTCTGCGGTTTTTCAAACGGTTATTACTTTATTTGTCAAACCACTTGAGAATTTCTTTAGACTTAAATATTACTAAGCAAAAAAGTTTTTAGCGTAACGCTGACGTTATTTATTATCACAAGGCTTGCTATGTATTCTTTTCGCTGTCTAAAACACCTTAGCCAATTTGACAGTCGTACGGGAGTAGCTCGTGACGTTAAAATAATAGGGTTTTACGTCCTTGTCGCAATGTTGTAAAAGTTTAACTTTCGGTAACTTATGTTTTAAAACTTTTTATTGTTTTATGTTTTATAATTTTATGTTATTATTTATAAAAATTTTAAAGTTGTTTATAAATTAATGTAAAACGCAACTTTATTTGTTAACTTCAACTTTAAAGTTGAAATTAATAAATTCAAGTAATTTTAAAAAATTATATAAAAATAAGAAGATTAATACATTAAACTCTTAAATTCTTTAATTATGGACATAAAAATGATATAATAAATAAAAACCGAAAGTTGAATTTTTTCAACATGAAAAATGAGAACCTTATAAATCTCATGAACAGATATTATTATTTTTTTGTTATACCCGGGGTCGCTCACAGGATTTTTTGATTTTTTAGATATGACACATTCACGTATTATGTTAACTCCAAACTTGTTCATGCGTATGACAAATAAGGAGGTTTTGCAAAAAATTCGATGATAGAGGCCTGGGAACAATAAAAATCTAAAATTTTAGCCCCTATTGCTCAAAGGTGAGGGAAGTTATGTAGTAAAATTTGTAACCCCTGTTTGCAAAAATGTTTGCATGGTAATAGGGTTTGCAATCCCGGAGGTCTTTCTCAATCCCGGGATTCCGGGATTGATCCCGGGATTGAAAAACAGATACAGCATCTATATAGTATTAAGTAGAATAAAAACAGTACACTCTTAAACAAAAATATATTTTATATTTGTATGACATCGTTACATGCATAGAGGAAAAACATGTTAATTAATGTTAAAAAATTTCATTAGAAATGAGGAAATATATCATGTTTCATGTACTTTGAAATATGACTTCAGGAAGCACAACGTGTCTAATGTTTCATCACCCAACCTGTTACGAATTTTATTATTAAATGCCCGATGAGCCCCGACACTTGTCGGTTTCACCGTCATTAGAAATGAATAAAATCTTTCTAAATAATCACCACGTGTACCACCATTTTCAAATAATGTCATTTCTTTTTGAATTTTTCATAACAATGTTTCATGTCTTACTGGTTGCACCGATGATTGCGTTTCTTTAATATAAAGCTCCTCTTTAATACTTAAAGTGTTATTTTTAGTTTCAGGTTCTTCAATAAAATCTAGCATATCAGACTCAACTGATGCTCTTACTAAAGCAGGATTGGAAACGTTTAATCTTTCCAGCAATTCTAACAACAGTTTTCGACATTTAAATAAAAAAAGCACAGTAATTATTTCTTCATCGACTTCAATTGAGCTTCTACTGTTATGCAGTTATTGCAAAAGTATATTTATATCAGTTTGGCGTTCATGTATAAGATCCATTAAAGTTGTACACATTTCCTTGCTTTTGTTATTGTAAGCATCTTTTAATTTCGTAGGCATAAAATTAATAGCAATGTCAGCTGTAAATAGAATCTCGGCGAGAAAGTGCTTCAACCGTTGCTTTAATAGGAACTAGAGTTGTAATAATGTCTGATAATATTGTCAAACTATTTTGCGACAGAGCTATAGAATTATTTTGCACTGAGTAAATATCAATTAATGATTTTTGTATACAATTTTTTATTTTATAAAATTGTTTAAGCATTAACAGAAGGCTGCTCCACCTTGTTTTGCAATCCATAATTAAAGAAAGTTGTTTTCAAAATTCAGCCTTAATATATTTTTGTAAGATGTCGTTCTTGGTAGGTGATCTTCTAAATATTATTATCAACTTTACTTTTTTTACGTACTTTTTTAATGACTGGTCCATAATGAACTTCATTTAGTTCAATTTTAGATCTTAAAGTTTCATGATTGTAGCTCAGTAAATCTCCCTCAATATCCTTTTTCTCGGATGAATCATAGTCAAAAAATTCATTTTCAAATTTTGGCTGATTGATTCTGGCATCGAATTCTCTTTTTTATAAATAACATCAATTACAGCAAGTTGTATGCCGTGGGCAAAACATAATTGTTGATTTGCAGCCAGCAACCTTCCAACCTTTTTCATAACACTAGCTCCGTCGGTCATTATAGCCACAATATTGCCGTGTAGATCGAGATAATGGTCTTTAAATTTTTTTTCTATTAGTTAAATGCACTTTTCTGCTAGCATTGACCCTGTTATTCGCACTAAACCCAAACTCCAAAACTGAGAATTTTTCCATGAGCGTTACTATTCATATAGCGACGATTACAAAGTGACGTCCATTCATCAAAAAACAAAGAAATTTCTTCTCCTACCCCGAATTCTGTACTCTTGAGCGCTTTAATTTGCTGAACTAAACCTAGTCTCACTTTTTTGCTGTAGTCTACTACATGATTACGAATTATGTTTACTGACGTTGGTAGATTTCTAAATCCCATAGCAGTTAGACACGGCACGTATATCTATTGAAAAACAAATTACATTAAATGAAAGCCTGTAAGACGCCATTGGACGAGCAAGTGTAGCATGGTGTGTTTTATTTGACTTTTCAAAAATCGAAAAGCATTCTGTAAGTGGTTTAATTTCTATTTTGGTGGTTTATCTGATGTGCTTTCTCCGGTAATATTAGGTTGGGTTGGACTTTCGACCTTCACATTATGCACCGACAACATGTGTATATGAAGTCCTTTTGTTGAACCACCACAGATTTTTAAAATCTTCTTGCAGTTTGGCAGTTTACACATTACTGTTTGCCCTTTTTCTTTTCGTAGAAAATATTACCAAACAGCTGAGTTACTATTAATTGTAAAATACGCATACGCCATGCTTATTTAAGTTTTAATTTTAAGAGTAAACCTTGTAAGAAAGACGCGTTTTTTTTTCATATTCCAAGCATATTTGATCTGAGAGTATATTTTAGATATGACAACATGGTTGAGACCAACATCAGGCATTTTTTTAAAGGTAGATAATGTTTTT